CTGGCCCTTCAGGAAGGCTGGGAGGGTTTTTGATTAGGGTAGGTCTGGGAAGATCTGGGATAACCTGGGAGCTCTAGGGCCCTTGGGGTGGGGTGGGGTGGGGGCTCTGAAATTTGAGCGGGATCTGAGGGGACCCAAGCTGGAAGTTGGGAATTCCAAGTTGTTGTTGTTTTGAGACAGAGTCTCACTTTGTTGCCCTTGGTAGAGTGCCATAGTGTCATAGCTCACAGCAACGTCGAACTCTTGGGCTCAAGCGATTCTCTTGCCTCAGCCTCCAAAGTAGCTGGGATTATGGGCGCCCACCACAACGCCCAGCTATTTTTAGGGACAAGGTTTTGCTCTGGCTCAGGCTGGTCTTGAACCTGTGAGCTCAGGCAATCCACCTGCCTGGGCCTCCCAAGTACTGGGATTACAGGCGTGAGGCACCGCGCCTGGCCGGGAATTCCAAGCTTTAAAAAGGAATGGGTAACCCTGCAACCTCGGGAAAATAAGGGAATCCTTTGGCAGGCAGTGGAGTAGGACAAGTTTCCAAAGCTCCTGGGTGGGAGTAGGGAGGGCCCCAGAATTAGAAGAGCTCTGACGTCCTACCATCAGGAAAGAGTGTTGGTATGGGTTAGGGAAGGAACTGGAGGGCACCAGCATGGGAAATGGGTGTGAAATTCAGATTTGGGGCAACAGGAGTACCCAGGCAGGGCTGGAGAGGAGTCTAGTGTCCTGAATTTCGCCGAAAGTGGTAGCTGGATAGTGAAAGTGGTCTGAGGACCGTGAGTGGAGCTGGAGCAGGTTCAGGGGTACGCAGGTGAACGGCATTGCCCAATCGACTGAATAGGGGTATCTGGGGTAAACAGGGTAACCGGGTGGTGATAGGGGACTTGGGGTCGCAAGTGGCGCTAAGGAGGGGCCCGAGCCCCCGGTGGCATAGGACCGGGAAGAACGCAGGACTCACGCGGCGCCTCGCACTCGTCCTCAACCGACGCGCAGGGACGCAGTCCTGGACCGCACCGCGAGGGGGCGCTGGGCGAGCGGCAGAGGCGCGAGCACGCGGCCCCGACGGCGGGCGGCTCACAGCGCGCGCGGTAGGAGAAACGCAGCTCCCAGGCGCCTGCGCGCTGCACGTCTCGGGCCCACTGGGCCCCAGCTGACAGGCGCCGCCGGCCAGCCACGCGCGCCAGCAGGCTCCAGACCGGACCTGCGTGAAGAGGGGAAGGCCGCTGGCGAGGGGCACTGGAGTGGGCCCGACTGGACTACAGAGGAACTGAGGTGTCGGGGGTGTAACCAAGCATGCCGACTCACACTCTCCCCGCCCCTGCTAGTGAGATCAAAACACCCCTGTCGAGCACTGGGGTCCTTAGACCCCACGAGAAGAAGGCATTTACCCTCCTTACTTAGCAAGGCTGTAAACTCCCCTGATACACCTGGGACCTTGATGTCGCGATCATCACGATGGTAACATTCTCTCACAGAAGCCGTAATACCCCCATATTTTGCCCCAGAATCTTTGTATATTAACAATAAGACCACCGACACTCTGTGACATTTAATATCTTAATATGGACAATGGACAAATAACAAGTCTCCTGAAGTGGGGTCATAACACCCCAAATTGTGCTTCAGGATCTTCCTATATCAAAATGGTGACAGAGGCCCCAATTACTAGACCATAAATTGCCCATATTGCGTGAGACTTTAGCACACTGGGAGAGTGACAGCTTCTCATAGGAAAGGGCATCACACCCCAACATACAGAAACCACAGTTTTCTGTATCAAAACGGTAACAGAACCCCCACTCTGGGCCCTACATAGCAACAGAGTTTGCCAAATTAAGGACATAAATCACTCCTATGTCCTTCCCTGGAACCTTTGCTCAATACTCTCCCTGGTGAAATTGCAACATCCCCTAGGCTCCCTGGGACCTCCATATAACAAGGTGGCAGAGCCACATAGAAGTACCAGAAATAACTCATAGTGTACCCTGCATTCTCAAACAGATGGTGATAAAACAAGGCCATGAAATGCTATCTCCTGCTCTAGTGCCTTGAAGTCAAGATAGTAAGAGAGCTTCCCCCACTCTACCTGGTACTAGCACAAAAAAACTCTTACCCCATTTCTTTACCTGAGATGCCAAGAGCCTTGGAGCTGTTAAGATTCAGCACCATGCTCTAGGAGCTGTAATGACATCATAGGATCCACTCTACAGACAGCCCCACTTCATTATCCTGGATCTCACATTGGGCCCCAATTCCCTGGAGTCTCCTGACCCCACATGACAGTCCCAAGAGTGAAGACACTCACCTCCAATCTGCTCTCCTAACTCCTCTCTCCAAGTTTCAATGATGAGAGAGAAGGTGCCCTGGGTGGGTGGAGGAAGGGGGAAGGAAAAAATAGAAGACACGACTTAGGGCCAGTACTCAGTGAAGGGCAGGTACTCAGTGAAGGCCAGAATTCAGAGGGAAAGTGCTGGCCAATTCTGGCCACAGAGCAAGCAAGGGGCAGTTCCTAGAGGAACTAGCCCAGGGAAAGAGTGACATCCATGGCTTTCTTTATCCAGCACTTACTATGTGATAAGCACTTTACTCCAAATACTGTCTCCTTCAAGAGGGACCCTTGTGAGATAACTGAGGAACCGTGGCTGGAAAACTAAAGTCGCTTGCTCAAAAGGACAAGGGTTGGCTCGGCGCCTGTAGCACAGTGGTTACAGGGACAATCACATACAACAAGGGTGGAGGGTTCGAACCCAACCCAGGCCAGCTAAAGAACTGCAACAACAACAACAAAAAATAGTCAGGCATTGTGTGGGCACCTGTAGTCCCAGCTACTTGGAAGGCTGAGGCAAGAGAATCGCTTCAACCCAAGAGTTTGAGGTTGATGTGAGCTGCGATACCACAGCACTCTACCGAGGGTGACAAAATAAGACTCTGTCTCAGAAAAATAAAAAGGACAAGGGGCTAGAATTTCAATATAGGTCTGTTCACCTTTGTGCCTTTGGGTTGTGGGGATGGGAAACAGCATCTTGGAGGTGAAAGAGTAATGAATACAGACCTGAATTGGAGATAGGATGGAACAGTTCACAGAAGGTTAGTGGTCCCCAACACAAGGTGTGAGGATCCCTAGGTACAAGGAGATTTGGAGATAAAGAGCATCCTAGTTTTTAGGGATCCCTAGGGAGGAGAGGTAGGATTTTTTGACATTAGGGTTTCCAGAGGTTGGTTTGGGGTTCTGGGAGTTTGGAGTTTCCAGCGTGCAGGGCTGGTGCTACAACATTTGAGATTCCCAGAGGGTAAGTTTGGGGTCAGAACATGTAGTTGTTGGTCTGAAAATTTGCTGCCTCCGCCCTCCTCCCCAGGTCTGGGGCAAGTTGGGGTCTTCGAAATGGAGGCAAGAGGATGGAGGTTTGGGTGGCAGAGTTAGACCTCCAGTACCAGGACTACCCCAAGACTAGGTCTTACCGGCCAGGCGTCCCGGAAGGGCACGCGCGTGAGCCCGTCGGGTAGCGGCAGGTCAGGCGCCGGCGCTCCAGGCTGCTCAGAGTAGACGGGTCCACGCGCACTCAGTGCCGTGCCCAGAGCGCACGGCGACTCGGCGGCTTCCTCGGACACCCCGGGCTTCAAACAAACTCTGAAGAAGAGGCGGCAGGGCCCCCGGGCGCTGCAAGGGGACCTCGGAGCCCCCGGGCCGGGTCCCGGCCGGAAAGAGTGAATCTGGAGCTCGAAGACGCCAGCTGGCCGTGCCTGGGGCAGAAAGGGGCACTAGATGGAGCGGCCGCGGGTACCCAGGCGTCCCATCCACACCACACTCTCTCCCCAGGACCCTCAGGTCGCATCCGCACCCCATTCATCCCTTTCTACGCCACCTCCCTCCGGGCTCTGACCTGGGGGAGGAAAAAGAGCGTTAGGATCAGTGTCTGGAACCGGAGCTGGGGCATCCGCGGGGAGACCATGGCCTTTCAGGGGTGTCGGGAGTCGCAGCTGCTAGCTCCAGAGCCTTATATCTGAAGGGACGACCCCGCCCCTTCAGGCAGCCGCTTGGCCCCAGGGGACAAAGGGGAGGAGGTCACAGGGGAAGGGGTCCGTGGAGAAGCAGCCAGGAGATTCTGTTCGTGGGCGTGGGCGATGTAGTGAGTGTGTAATGCTGCGTGTGGTAGTGGGTGCGACTTTGTGTGTGGCTGGGGTGGGGTGGGGTTGGAGACTTCAGCCTGTGTGCGAAGTTTTAAGATTCTGTGAGTGTGTGTGGTATAGGCGAGAGCTACCGGAGGGTGTGCGTTACTCTGTGATTGTGTGCCTATGTGGTATTGTCTGGCTCAACGAGTGGCTGGAATTGTGAGACTGCAAATACTTCCAAGATTGTGTGTGTGTGCGCGCGCGCCGGCACAGCTGAACAGCTGAGTGGGAGGCTGGAGGTACACGCGACTTTATGACTGTGCGACTTTGGAGATTGTGTGGCTGCGTGGATGTTTCTCTGCGCATGTGCATGTGTTTGTGCGCGATCCTATGTAATCGCGTAAACCTGCGACTTTGTGGTCTGTGCGTGGCTCCCACTGGCTATGTGTGCGTAGTAGAAGTTCGGGAAGGTTGCGAGTGACTAAAGGGGTGTGTGTATGTGATCGAAGGAGACTGGGTTTGGGAGGCATGTGGGCGAGTGGATACGATGAAGACCCAAGGTTCTTTATGGCGACATGTGCGCGCGATCCCTCTCCCCAGGACAAAGCCCCAAGCACAGGATGCACCAGACGCCAGGGCAAGCCGCTCCGGCCGCAGAGGGGCTCCAGCTGTATGTAAATGCCGCCATCTGCCGGGCGGCCGCGCCCCTCCCCCTCGGGGCCGCAGCTGGGCTGCCCATTTGGCCTCCGGAAGGTGTGAGGAGCAAATGGGCAGGAAATTCCGTCTTCACATACTAGGGGACGGCTCTCCTACCCCGGGATGAATGCGGAGAGCACTGCCCGGCCCTCCAGAAGCCCCTTAGTATTCTAGGACCTCAGCAAGAAAAGCCAGTTAGGAGCAGATGTTCCAGCCCTTTGGTCACAATCACTCTGTGCCAGGCATTGACCAAAGCTGCTTAAAGGGAATAAACTCGTTTTTGTTTTTGTTTTTGTTTTCAGAGTAAAAAAATTTAATACTCAGAGGCTAATAATTATAAGGGAAAACACAGGTTCAACTTAGGTTTTTCTTTTTTTTTAATTGTTTGGGATTCATCGAGGGTACAAAGAATTAGGTTACACTGATTGAATTTATTAAAATCCCTCTTGTAATTGTGTCCCGCCCCAAGAGGTGTGCCATACACCGTGTGCCCCCAAGAGGTGAACCATACACTGTGACCCCCTCCCCCTTTCTCTTCCCCCTCCCTCATTCCCCTACCCCACCCCTTGTATTAGCTCATCTACTGCCTTCATATTAGAATTGAGTACATTGAATTCTTGCTTCTTCATTCTTGGGATGTTTTACTAAGAAGAATGTGTTCCACTTACATCCAGGTTAATACAAAAGATGTAAAGTCTCCATCTCTCTCTCTCTCTTTTTTTTTTTTAGAGACAGTCTCTCTTTGTAGTCTTCCGTGGAGTGCTGTGGCATCACAGCTCACAGCAACCTCCAGCTCTTGGGCTTAGGTGATTCTCTTGCCTCAGCCTCCCGAGTAGCTGGGAACACAGGTACCCGCCACAACACCCAACTGTTTTTTTTGTTGTTGTTGTTGCAGTTTGGTCCTGGGCTGGGTTTGAACTGCCACCCTCAGTATATGGGGCCAGCGCCCTACTCACTGAGCCATAGGCGCTGCCCTACACCACAGCTTGTTAATCCATTTCTTCGTTGGTGGTCGTTTAGGTTATTTCCACATTTTGGCAATTGTAAATTGAGCTTCAATAAACAGTCTTGTGCAAATGTCCTTATGATACGAGGATTTTTTTTCTTCTGGGGGGACGCCTAGTAATGGGATTTTAGGATCAAATGGGAGGTTCTAATTTGAGTTCTTAGCAGATTCTCCATACTTCCAAAATATTTATGTTTTTCTGCTAGAGGTATAAGATATGGTGATCAATAAAGCAGAGCCCAGCAGAGCCCAGCAGAGCCATGCATACAGTAGGTGCCCAGTAGTGTTTTTTGTTTGTTTGTTTGTTTTTTGAGACAGAGTCTCACCATGTCGCCCTTGATAGAGTGCTGTGGCATCACCGCTCACAGCAACCTGAAACTCCTGGACTTAAGTGATTTTTCTCTTTCCTCAGTTTCCCAAGTAGCCTGGAAACAACACCTGGCTATTTTTTTGTTGTAGTTGTCATTATTGCTTGGCAGGCCCAGGCCAGGTTCAAACCCACCAGCTCCAGTGTACGTGGCTAGTGCCCTAGCCACTGAGCTATAGGCACTGAGTCTGCTAAGTAGTTTTTAATTTTTGTTTTTCAGTTAGAAACAGGGTCTCAGGCTTGGTTCCCATAGTTCAGTGGTTAGGGCACCGGCCACATACACTAAGGCAGGTTCAAACCAGGCCTAGGCCTGCTAAACAACAATGACAACTGCAACAACAACAACAAAAAATAGCCAGGTTGGCTTGGTGCCTGTAGCACAGTGGTTACAGCGCCAGTCACATACACCAAGGGTGGTGGGTTCGAACCCAGCCCAGGACGCTAAACAAAGTCAACTGCAACATAATCACCAGATGTTGTGGCAGGCACCTGTAGTCCCAGCTACTTGGAAGGCTGAGGCAAGAGAATCACTTAAGCCCAAGAGTTTGAGGTTGCTGTGAGCTGCAATACCACAGCCTGCTACCAAGGGCAACATAGTGAAATGCTATCTCCCCCCTCCCCCAAAAAGGAAAGAAAGAAACAAGGGTTCGCTCTTGCTCAGGCTGGTCTCAAACTTTTAGAGTTCAAGTAACCCATCCACCTAAGCCTCCCAGAGTGCTGGGATTTACAGGCGTGAACCACCACCCTGGGCAGGTAGTTTTAATGAATGAAGTAATGCCAGTCTTTTAAAAGAGTTTTCACTAAATCCTGAGAACACTGGGGTTTAACTAAGGAAAGGCCACAAGTTAAACTGCAGAGCATCCTAGGCTCCTTCCCTTGTATTTGTTAGGGTCTTTCATTCCCTCCTTTAATGTCATTTTCACAATTCAGACTTTACCTTCTCCACGAAGCACCTCTAACATCCCCCAAGACAATCAGGAACCTCTTCTGAACTCCCACAAACCCTTCTGCTCCATCCTGGCCTGACCACTCTGGCCAGTATGGATTTTTCCAAGCACAAGTCTTTCTTTTTTTTGATTCTTCTTCTTTTTGGAGAAGACAGAGTCTCACTCTGTCACCCTAGGTAGTGTTGTGGCATCATCATAGCTCATAGCAACCTCAAACCCTTGGGCTCAAGTGATTTTTTTTTTTTTTAAGAGACAGAGTCTCACTTTGTCGCCCTCAGTAGAGTGCCATGGCATCACAGCTCACAACAACCTCCAGTGCTTGGGCTTAGGGGATCTCTTGCCTCAGCTTCCCAAGTAGCTGGGACTACAGGCACCTGCCACAACACCCAGCTATTTTTTTGTTGCAGTTTGGCCGGGGCTGGGTTTGAACCCACCACCCTTGGTATATGGGGCCAGCACCCGACTCACTGAACCACAGGCGCCGCCCCTCAAGTGATTCTTTTGTCTGAGTTTCCCAAGTAGCTGGGACTACCTGCACCCACCAAATGTCTGACTATTTTTAGGGACAAGGTCTGGCTCTGGCTCAGGCTGGTCTCGAACCTGTGAGAGCTCAGGCAATCCACCCATCTTTGCCTCCAGAGTGTTGGGATTATAGCCAAGAGCCACCTCACCTGGCCAAAAGCAGAGTTATTTATTTATTTTTGGCTAGGGCTGGGTTTGAACTCACCACCTCCAGCATACACAGGTGCTGCCCCCGAGAGCAGAGCTTTTTTTTGTTGTTTTTTTGTAGAGACAGAGTTTCACTTTATCACCCTCGGTAGAGTGCCGTGGCATCACACAGCTCATAGCAACCTCCAACTCCTGAGCTTAGGCAATTCCCTTGCCTCAGCCTCTCAAGTAGCTGGGACTACAGGCACCCACCACAACACCCAGCTATTTTTTTGTTGCAATTTGGTCCGGGTTGGGTTTGAATCTGACACCCTCAGTATATGGGGCCGGCACTCTACCCAGTGAGCCACAGGCACCACCTGAGAGCAGAGCTTTTTAATCTCATTTCTTCACTGCTGTACCCCAGTTCCTAGAACAGGGCCTGGCAGCTGGTACTCGGGTAAATATTTGTTCAGTAACTGAATGCATGCAAAGGTACTATTATCAACCCCATGTGGATGAGACTGATCCACAGAACCTGCTGGAGTATCTGAATGCTGGCACCTTCCTGCCCACCAGATGATAGCAGAATGCAATGTAGCCTGGTGTCCACAGTGTTTTAGGAAAATATCCTAGGGCTCTAGGCCATGTTGCATCAGTGTCCAAGATGCCTGTGCACAAATCTAACCCTTTCCTCCCCTTGCCTTCCAGCTTTGAGGAGGTGTGTGGTGAGCACATCCCTGAGTCAGCACTGAGGTACAGGGAGAACACCTGGAGTACCCACTGGATACACACACTTCTTCC